AAATTAGAGGTATTCTTGTCCTAGAGGGATTAGGAAAGAATTTCAGTTTTCTTTATTCAATTTAGGTTTGGATTTCTAGAAGTCTATTTGGATTTGGATAAGTGTAATTTCCTAATCCACTTAGAAATAGGAATTCAATCAGCCTTGGGACATGTAAGCCAACTCTATATCTATAAATAGGGTGTGGCAAGGCTTATTTTAAAGAAGAGGAAAAATAGCCAGAGACAGCCAAGAGTTTTGAGATTAGTTCTAGGGTTTGCAAAAGTTCTGTAATCTCTATTATTAATCAAAGGAGCGGTGATTTCTCTAGGTAGAGAAATCACAACTGGACGTAGGCAAAAGTTCTGCCGAACCAGTATAATTCTTGTGTGTCTAAGTTTCCTAATATTTGCTAGTTTAGTCTATTGCTGTTGGTTACATTAAAGAACAAGATCCAGCAGCAAGTTATTTAACAGCAAGCACCTGCCTGGTATGCAGGAATTAAAAAGATTATAATGTGTACCAATTTAAGAACAATTTATCACTTGATTCCTCATAATGTGAGCCATCAGCTCTATGCGTATAAGCCCTATGTGTCAATCTAAAGGCCAAAATCACCAACAGAAATGCATGACTCACTTAATTGATATAACTGAAAACTTAAGGAGTTACAGTGGCTTTAACCTTACAAATCTATGCCACAAATTCATTAACCATTGGATTAGACATCAATAAACAAACACCTTGAATATGCCATACTAACCTCTTCAAAGTAGAGTATAGAGTAAACAACGTAGCACAACAATTCTCTCAAAGAAGATTGATTTGACTTACTCATCATATGTATTAGCCCAGGTATCAGCTGAAGTATCCCCCAAGATTCCTTCACCAACCTGATTTCCAAATTCCTCTGCCCAGTCATCAACATGCAACTTAGGGAACTGATTGACCCACTGATCATCAACTGACCCATGCTGCTCTTGCTCAGAAGCAAACTCATTTGCCCATTGATTGGGTCCATGAGATAGCTGGAAACCCATTAAAATTAGGCAGCATAAATTGGAACTGGATGTAACCTCATTGCATAACAGTTCAAGGTATTAAAATATGCACTTATATATGAGTTTGGTACGTTTGAACAGGAAGTTCTTGTAAATCAATATTAGTCTCAATTTTTCACAACAAATTGCCCAAAAAAAATGTAGTACTGGAAAAAAAAAAAGGTAACACATGGACACAAAACCCATCTCAACAGAGAGTTCATATCTTTGTAGACATCCCATGCCACAGATTGCAGCTTTGCTGCCAAAAGGTGTAGTTTCATTTGCCTTCAAGTATGAATTGCTAGCCTTGTTGCTAAGATATTTTGTTTGATTTCTTTTGTAAATCTTTTCGTATTTTTACGTTTCAAAACAAATGATTAGTTGATTGCTCCAAGATATAGAAGCATCTTCATTTCTAAGGGCTCTGCGAAAAAAGTTAATAGCAGTTGAAATATTATTACCAATTCAATTAAACAAGTTTTTGTATGTTCAAGTTTCTTTCATGTGTCAGCCAATATCATAAGTCATGCCAGAAACAAACTCAGCCCTTCATAAATCAGAACCATGAACAGCTCACCCCCACACCCCACACCCTGCAACTCTCAGAAGAACAAGTATTTTGATAGAAACGCTTAAATACATAGGAAATGTTCTTAGAATATGGGTGGGTATAATTCAGAAACTGAAGGGAAATATAAAACAAGTGAAATAATATTTCATGTTCAGACCAGATTCCTACCTCACCACGGGCATATTTGTCAGCCCAATTAGGACCTGCATTATACTGTTGTTGATATTCCCCCGCCCAATCCCCAGATGCAGATGATGTGGCAGGCTTGACTTGGTTATCATCGATAATGAGTTCACCACGACTCATCTTTGACACAAACTGGAGAAACCTCGACTTCTGCATGCCCCAAAAGGTAAACATATGAACAATGATGATGATGATGATGATTCTAAAAAGACAAGTATGCGATGTGAAACAATTATTAATGCAATACAGATTCCCTATGACAAATTACACGTGATTAGGCCCAGCATTTGTTTATGACCAACGTCCTGACTAAATGTCATGTTAATTAACCGCCCCCAAGCTATTTGTTGGCCAGACATCAGGGATTCATGTGTCTGCTAGCAAAAATTGAGAGATGGAATTCTCAAGGACATGTATGAAATGAAAAAAAATAAACAGCTGTTGGAGCATTTCTTGAGATTTTTATGAGACTTTAAGCGATGAATCATTTTTTGGGAATTCCAAAATTAGTCCCAAAATGACAAATTTCAAACAATACTTGTCATTTGCTCTTCCGTAAAGCATAATTTGGAGATCAGTAACCTGCTAATTTCTGAAACCAATTGACCCTATAACAGATTATGCAACTATTGTGGTTCAATTGGTTCAGCTAAAAAAGATAAGTCAATTACAAGGTGTGCATTAGCATTGTTGGAAAGAGTATCATTGATTCCAAGGTTCATTTGTTGATGCATTATTCACAACACTAAAAAAGTTCAAAATTTATTTGGAAACTAAGGAGGTGCATGCACACACATGGAGAATTTGTATAAACCTGAAACTTTGGGTCATCATTCTGAGCTAGTGTATTGCAAGCATACGAGTCTGCTCCATTGCAGCTAAGTTTGCCATATTTGCACCTCTCATATGATCTGCAGAAATCAACTGGGACTGTTCCTGTAACCAGGAGAAAGAGGAAAATATCTATCATTTTAGCTTTATCCATTTAACTTGATTCTAACTTCGAAGTCCAAATCCTATTACAACGAGTATCAAGCAACATATACATATTGTCTTACTCTTTCAGTTCAAGGTGAGCACACGAACAATAATGTGATGGAACCTAAACTAAGGTGATAAGCCTTGCTTAATTAAGGTGTCAAACCTTGGATATCTCTTCTTCTTTTTCATTTTTTATTATTTATATTTCAAGCATACTCCACCATGCATCACTTGTTCCAAACCTCAAAAAACATCTATAAGGCTCTTTTGTCTTCACCACCAACAAGCCCCTGCTTCCAGGATTCCCAAAACTATAAATATTCACTGCCTACAAATAATCCCCAAATCCAAGTGACATCTATAGCTGAAGAAAATTGAAACTTACCCTACAAAAGCCTATTACTTTTCTACCACCAATTTAACCTCATCCACACATTTACAGATGTCTTTAGTTCAACTATAACAAAACTATGATAGCAAGAACTACTTGCAACTGTTGTTCTGCAAAACATTACAAAGGTCAATGGTTGACCAATAGCACATAAGTCTAGAATCAATGGATGTGATTGAAATACCAACTACAATACTCCTTTACCTGCTCAAATTCAGAGGCCCAGCCATTGGCTTTGTCTTCACCACCAACAAGCCCCTGCTTCCAGGATTCCCAAAACTATAAATATTCACTGCCTACAAATAATCCCCAAATCCAAGTGACATCTATAGCTGAAGAAAATTGCAACCTACCCTACAAAAGCCTATTACTTTTCTACCACCAATTTAACCTCATCCACACATTTACAGATGTCTTTAGTTCAACTATAATATGATAGCAAGAACTACTTGCAACTGTTGTTCTGCAATACATTACAAAGGTCAATGGTTGACCAATAGCACATAAGTCTAGAATCAATGGATGTGATTGAAATACCAACTACAATACTCCTTTACCTGCTCAAATTCGGAGGCCCAACCATTGGCACCATGTTGTCGCTCAAATGAGTGAGCCCACGCATTAGGATCACCATGATCTACTCTGTGTTGGTTAAATTCAGTCACCCATCCTTCTGTAGCGTGAGCACCAGGTTTCATTATAGCTTGGGATTCATTCCAATAATCCTCCAGTTCCCGAAACCTTGCAGGCAGAGGTCCTTTACTGTTGACATCACTCTCAATATCTAAAGAAGATAGAAGTGCATTTACCTGGAAAAGTAAAAAGTACTAAATAAACCGAAACTGTTGAGAAAATGTCTTGCAGAGAACAGGACAAGGCATCTTTAACATGAACAACTCAAGAAACAAATTGCTGATACAGACCCAAAGACATGCAAGAAATGACAACGATCCAGAAAAAAATTTACTCTAGGGTGCTCATAGAGCAAACCAAAATGACATATTTTACTAGAATTTAAATAAATTTAAATTTCTAACTGAGAAATTCTAAATATGTATGCAAATCGCAGTAAAGAAAATAAGAGAAAATTAGAGGGATAATGATAAAATGTTAAGTCAAATCTCAACTAGTGAACGCCTGAACTGTTGATAATGGTGTTCATCCCTACTTAGCTTACTCCATGAAGGAATATTCAGAATTGGAGCAAATAAATGCAACTGAAGAACTTTTGAAGCATACGATACAATTGAGGTAAGAGAAATAAAGTTCCAAACCTGCCCATTAATAAAATCTTCACTTTTATCTGCAAAAAAATGTCGGGCCATGATGCTGGTGCGATCACGTATGCACCATTTGTCACCAGCGGACAATCCTAACACTGGAAGTGGAGCCGGACGGAAAGGCATTCCACCACGGCTACTTTCAACAAATGAGTGCAAAAAGCTTGACAACACCCTTTGTGGTGGCCCTGAAACACACAATTAGAAGGGAGATAAATCTCAAAATTAATCTTCAATCCTTTAAGCTGAAGATAGATACTGCTCCTGGTTATTTGATCAGAAAGAGACCCTCGTGCAATTGAATATAAAAGAAAGAAACTTCTACATGTTAAATTCCTTTTCTTTTCTTTTTTCAATCTACCTGTTAGCATTTTGGGGGAACATAGTTTTTTTCGTGTGGTCCATATGCCACATTAGGCCAAATGATGATTGGTCATCCCGTATATAAAGTTCACTTTCAAAATGTCCTATTGCTCCATTAAGTCCATAAACACCAGAATTCTACTTGATCTTAGAATGTTGTGCTCAAGACTCCCTCTCTCATCCATAACCCTACCTTTGAGTGGACATACACATGGACAAGTGAACTCTTCTTTGGGTGACCTGGAGCGCTTAGGTAGTCCCCATTAACATGGAAAATATGAGGCGGTTTGCATCATATTGTAGTATTCAACCTAAATGCCTAGGAGGATAGGCTCAAAAGGTGCACATGGCCAGCAAGATTGAGGCACTAGTGCACAAAGCAAGAAGCTTCAAGCAGACCTTTTGCCTTATTATAAAATACTACCGTGAAGCTGGAAGAGGATACACAACTTATAACTCATCTGATAATAGAAATAACAAAAGATCATTTCTCTTTCCACCGTAAACTATAAAATCTCAATAATGCATCGCTGAGATTCTTGAATGTATAATGATCGCTTCCTGGACTCACTTGAGCCAAAGAACTGTTTCACACATTAACTGGCAATTAAGAAAGTTTAACTAAACTTTTCAAGCTTCTTCCTTACTTCAAAGTTAAGCCCTTCAAGAAATATCATAAAGTAGCTCAGACATCCAAACCTTCAAAAGTATACCATACTGTGTTTTCTTTTCATTTCTAAATGCCAGCTTTTGTCTCTTAGTCTTCTGCCAAACACTCTTCCTCAAGCAACTCTATTAATCTTTAATGTTGGTAAAAAGAACCCAATTCTCCTTTCTTGAACAAGCATCTTGTGATTTATATATTCTCTAATGTTACTAAGCTCTGGCGTTGGCAAGCAGTTAATAACATGTAGGAAACAAATAGTATAAAAACAAAAAATTTGAGAGATTTACCATCCAAAGTCGGTTGAAGCTGAGGAGCAGCTCCAAGATCATAAATGCGGTCAAGTTGAGGAACATGCATAGGCGGAGGTTGAGAACTCTGTATCTCATCCCATGCATTGTCAAGTAGTCTATTGCCGTCAACAGAGTTGAAGTTTCGAAGAAAGTCCGAGCTCTGAACAAAACGACAACGCAAATTAAGTACAAGACTAGAAGTGAAGGCAGTGAAAAAGATTAGAGCTTCGATTGCCAGTACCTGAGTGCCAGGTTGCATAAACGGCTGCTCAAACTCCGAGCCAGGGAGTTGCTGCAGGTGGCCATGGGCGTCCGGATAAAACTGCGGCTCAGAAGCTGTGGGCGTGGAGTGAGGTATCTCCTTCAACCTTTCCTGCGCGTGAATTGAACAGAAGCATGAGAAAACGACGCCGTAGAAGCCACTGATGATGAAATTGAGGATCGAAAATTCAAAATGAAGAAGAGAAACTGAAATTGAAAAGGGCGAAGAGGGAGACGACGAACCTGTGTCTTGGAAGAAGAGCCGATAAGAGCGTTGGCGAGAGCACCGAAAGGATTGGCGGAAGAAGATGAGCCTGGAACCGCACAAGCTGCTCCGCCAGTCACAAGCTCGCGCGCGCATCGCCATGGTCGATGGTCTTCTTCTTCTTCTTCCTCTTCAATCCACAACAGAATTATACAACAACCACCACCACCACTATATATTTTTTTTCTGTGTTATTAAATATATAAAATAAAATAAAAATGAATAAATTTAAGTCGGTTGGTTGGGTTGGGGATTGAGAATTGTAGAGAGTAGTCTTTTGGGGATGGCTTCCGGTTCCTCTCAGTTGTCTTCGCCTGCCAGAGTTATCAATGAATTTCAATTTTCCTCCTTTTTTCTTTATTATTCTTATTATTATTTTGGTTCATCTTCCTCGTTGGGTCGTGACGCTGCTGACGTGGCGAAAATACACAACTTGCCTTTGTCCATGACTCTCTATAGTTGGGTTGAATTTTGTTTTTAACAATAAAACTCTAGTATATTTCAATTTTATTTACTTGCTCATTGGGAGAGTGAGAATTTGAACCTTATTTACTTGCTCGTAACTATTGAAGTTACATTTTTACCCTAAACTTTAAACCATTCAACTTGATTTATTAAGGCCACTATGAACACTCAGTCTTGAAAAATTGTGAACAATTATTTGAAGTAGAACTTAAAAAGATCGATCATTTATATCATTAAATTGAATTGTGTTACGGTCAATTTCACATGCGCGTGAATAATTTTTTATGTATGTAATCACAATGTATAAAATTTAGGCACATAAATCTTGTGTTACGTTACATATAGTTGAGTGCATAGTGGGCTTTTTTTTTTTCTTTTAATAAGGAAGGGATATCAAAAAAGTGGTTTCTATCATTTATTTTTACTTTTATTTTTATGTAAGGAAGGGAATATAGAAGTTTATTATGTTGTGGGCCTAGAAGAATTTGTGGCCTTCGATTTTTGGGCTGGGCCAGATCTCATTGAATCGTTCCAAAACACACAGGCTGAGGCCCAACCCCTGAAACGAACTGAGCGAGTCTGAGTCAGCAACTCGGAAATTGGAAGAATAAAACAGTCAAAACCCACCATTATTCCTAAAATACCCTTTAATTATTAATTCTAATAAATTCTCTTTGCTAATCATTAGTAATTTTTTTTTAAACATTAATTGTATTTTCATATTTTCCTTTACAATTAAAAAATTCTTCAATTAGCGGCCCATCCCCACTTAAGTCTCACCCTCCCCCCCGACCCAGACCTCTCTTCCTTAAAAAATATAAACCCTCAAAACCCAAATAGAACCCATTGTATTTTGATTCCCATGATCATGAATGGTTCCTTTTCTTCTCTCTCTCTGATATTCAAAATAAACTATTTGTTTTATTTTATTTTCAATTATTTCTCTCAATCAGGAATTCATTTTTGTCTTTTGAGTTCTGACGCCTAGATATGGTTGAAGGTTCTACGGTTTTTGGAAGAAGGAAGTATATTAGGTCTGATTTGAAAACAAATTAGCCAAGTAGAAAAAACTAAAGATTCTAAATTCTAGTCCGGAAGGAAAAGAAAAGGGATTAGATTTCAATATGGCATGAAACTAGACAATAAAAATGGATATTTGAGTTTCAGAGTTTGGGTGGGTTATGTTCATTCTTTCTGAAGAAAGAAGCGGGACATTAGGTTCCCTTTGTTTTATTTTCCTCAAGTAAAAGTGGCGATGTGTCCCTTTTTTTAACTCTTAGATTGAATTTTAATGATATGTCAAGCTATATTAATAAATAGGGAGAGTTTTAAATTTGTCCTTAAAAGTAATTTCGCAAATGGATAAATTTATTTTTAAAATTTTGAAGATAAGTGGGTGGGAAAATATGACAGATGGGTGGAAATAGCAGTACTCTATCAAAAAAGTGGTTTCTATCATTTATTTTTACTTTTATTTTGATGTAAGGAAGGGAATATAGGAGTTTATTATGTTGTGGCCTTCTATTTTTGGGCTGGGCCAGGTCGCATTGAATCGTTCCAAAACGCACAGGCTGAGGCCCAACCCCTGAAACGAACTGAGCGAGTCTGAGTCAGCAACTCGGATATTGGAAGAATAAAACAGTCAAAAAACAAAAGAAAAACGAAGCAAAAGAGCAGAAGCAGCAAAACGAAGAGCCAAAAATCCCCAAATCGGAAATCGGGAGGATGGCAGAGTCGTCGAGCAGCGGGCTGACGTTCAAGCTTCACCCTCTGGTGATCGTTAACATATCGGATCACTATTCTAGGGTTAAGTCTCAGATGCACCCGCCCATCACCAACACAGCGACAACAACAACAACGCCACCACCCAACAATGGCGCCGAAGGAGCAGTAGAAACAGCGCCTTCTTCTTCTTCTTCCTCTGCCTTGGCCTCGTCTCCGAGGGTCTTCGGCTGCGTTATTGGGGTTCAGAGGGGCCGCACAGTCGAGATCTTTAACAGCTTCGAGCTCCTTTATGATCCTGCAACTCACTCCCTCGACCGTGCTTTCCTCGAGAAGAAGCAAGAGCTCTGTTGCGTTCTCGTTCCTTATGAGTTTTCATTTATTTTTGTGTGATGGTTTTAGGGGTCCAATGAATGGTTGAGCTAACCCAATAATCTTTTTCTTTCTTTTGTCAGATAAGAAGGTGTTCCCGCACTTTTACATACTGGGATGGTACTCTACGGGGACTGATGCTCAGGAATCTGATATGAACATCCACAAAGCTGTAATTTTCGTCACCTTTCTCATTGCATATGCTTAATGTGCAACTTTTACCTTTTGGAATCCCTAAACACTATATTATGTGACACTTTCAAAGACCTAATCACGTCAACTATGAACCCATCAAGGGTTCTTTCTTGAATTTGAAATTCTATTGCCAAAGTTTCGAGTAATTGCACACTAGAGCTTTGTGCAAGTGACCAATGCTGTCTGGATGCATGTTTCTTTTTAGTTATGATGATTAAGATGCATTTTATTTCCGCATTGATAATAATGCTGCGTGTTTACTTTGTCACAGTTGATGGATATCAATGAAAGCCCTGTTTATGTTCTCCTCAACCCTTTGATCAACCCTGCCCAAAAGGATCTCCCAATCACTATTTACGAAAGTGGTATGTCTGCTGCATTGTTATCTTACTATGTATATGAGCTTTTGTGAGCATTGCCAATTAGTTGTACACCTAGGATTTTCCCGATTTTCTGAATTACCTATGATATCTAGTGTCACTGTGTCATTTTCCATAGCTGATGTGTGAGTTTGCACGTGTTATCTTCCTGCAGTATACATGCAGTTCATTCTTGTTCCTATATACTAGCATGGATCACTTATTTCTGTTTACACTGGTTGGTTGTTGTTTGTTTGAGGTACTGTATTGGAATTATCCATTTTTTGTGCTTGAGAAACTATGGCAAACTAAAGTGCTATAGTGTCAGTGCCAGTTCTTTCTAGATACTCTTTAAGATAAGGTTGCCCATTAAACTTCATTGTTGTTCAGGCTTGGTCGTTTTGTAATAAGTAGGCTGTTCTTTGCATCTTCTCCATTTGATTAGTTTTCCATAAATAAAAAAAACCCTCACATTGATGATGTTGTGCTACAATTTTATCAATATTGGGCTCTCCTTACTCAATGTTATATAGGATTTTTTTTTTCGTTTGTTGTATAATTACTAGTTCCTTTAATTCTCATTAGTTCTGTTAAAGTCATGGTCCAAGTGAAATCCATGTGCTGAATTTTGTGATTTTTTTTTACTAGTATAATTTGTTAGGGTCTCTCCCCTTTTGTAAATGAAGGGTCTTGGAAGTTCTTTTTCTTTTCTCCCCCCAAATATTCTAGAGTTCATTCTTATGGGAACTTATGTGATTTGAACATATTGCTTGCTTCATATAGTTTTCTGTTTATACGTTCACTGTCTTAACTTTTTTTTGGTTTTGTGGTGTTAACATTACAATTCCAGAGCTGCATGTCATCGATGGGATTCCACAGCTGATTTTTGTCAGTTCAAGTTACACGATTGAGGTTAGACTTATTCATTCTTATCTACCTTAAATGTTATTAACTATTATCAAGCAGGGTTACTAATACATTTTATTTTTCATTTTTTTGTGTTTCAAAGACGGTAGAAGCTGAACGTATCTCAGTGGATCATGTCGCTCATCTTAAACCATCTGATGGAGGTTCAGCAGCAACTCAATGTGAGCTCTCTCTCTCTCTCTCTCTGTAATTGTGTGGAGGTATGTGTTTCATCTATTTCTGATTAGAACCTGGTCTGTGGATTTTGTGCAGTGGCTGCTCATCTTACAGGAATTCACAGTGCCATCAAGATGCTAAATAGCAGAATTAGAGTGCTTCATCACTATCTTCTAGCTATGCAGAGAGGTGTGTACATGCTTTTAGTAGAAGATGATGGATTCATTATTAATGTAGATATCACTATGTGAGTACATGCGAAGGATACAATCAACCCCCAGAACTTTGAAAAAAAAACAGATAAGAAAAGCACCTAAACGAGTCTTATACCTCAGAACTAATAAAAACAAGAATTTGTAATAATTGCTCTTGTCTCCTTGTATGCAGGTGATATACCTTGTGAGAATTCTCTGCTAAGGCAAGTATCAAGTCTTCTGAGGAGGTTGCCTGCCATTGAATCTGGGAAATTTCAAGATGATTTCTTGATGGTGAGTGTTGCTTGTTTCAAGATGATTTATTTTCAGTATTTACATGTGATGTCTGATTGCAGATACTGGCTGCAGATAAGCTGACATCTTTATCTCATTACTTGCTCTGTTGCTCACTTCTTTGTTTGTTCTTTTTTTCTTTTTGTAGGAATACAATGACACATTATTGATTACATCTTTAGCTGTGCTTACCAACTGCTCAAGGTATGAACTGGATTGAACTTTTCAATGTCGATCATTCTATTACAATAGAATCCTGTAAGAGCTATTTTAACAAAATAGAAGATAAACAGTATAATGTCAACGCAAACTGTACTATGTCAAACCATTTTGATGCTAGGTGTGAAATTGTGTTCTTACACCTGGAATATTGTTTATTCAATGTGAGTTGTCATAGGGTTTAGCATACAAATATGGTTCGAATCTACGATTGCAATCATACTAATGCACTTACCAAGTTTGTACTTAGAGCAGGTGTATATTGTGTCGATATTCGCATTGAGGGATTATTATACTACAGTAGTTGAATATGACTTTTTATCACCTTTTCATTGTTACCATAAGCAATGCATTAGTTGAATATGAAATTGTAATTGTCATTTCATAGCTTATTGTGATATTGTAACGAGATTTTATTTTTGTTTTCTCAGTACAATGAACGAGCTAGTCGACAAGTTCAACACTGCATATGACAGGCATACTCGAAGGGGTGGCCGGACCACTTTTTTCTGAAAGCATATTTGCCAATCTGGCAGTCTTTAGTTTCTTTGAGAACTTTTTGGGTGCTGCTATTTTGTTTTTGACTCTGCATAGCACATAGAAGCTTAGAAATTATTGCCAAGACCTAGACAATTCAGAAAGAAATATAAATCTCATAGCTCTCTTCCTCTCTCTCTCTCTCTCACACACATATTATACCAATGAAAAAATGTCATTAAAATAGTTCCTTATTCAGACATCAGTGTACGGATTGAAAAAGAAAAAAGGAAAAAAAGTGTGTACATCTCTGACTTTAGAAAACCCACAAAGTCTCATTGACCGGTATCTTTGAGACGGATTTTGCATCTTCTATGTGGGGTTCAAAGTCTCATCAACATACCTTTGTATCAATGACTTTATTTAAGGACAAGAGAATGATGCCGGCCTCAGTAGCATTTAAGTCAATGGCATTTGTCGTAGTTGCTTGTACTTGTTTCAAATTTTCATATTGAAGCATGGGAAAATGTTTTAGACTCAAATCTCTCCTATAATAAGGTGAGATCCATGATATTGCAGGATCCATTTATATTGGGACATAAGAGAGTTGAAAAATAAGTTTGGAATGTTGGGTTCTTTAATAAATTCAACTCCCATGGCCCCGTCCCCTATGCCAGGGGATTCTGAGAAACCTTCCTCATTCTCAAATGCTGGGAATGTCGGACATCAACAAACAATTGGTGTCGGAGCGCAGGTCCAGTCCCTTGCCATTGGCACCCCTGGGATACCAGCCTCTCCTGTGCTTGCTGAATTTAGCGTACCAGATACTCATGTTAATGCTTTGTCAACTATTTCTGGCAAGTCGAGTGTTACAGAGCAGACTTCTTCCCTCTCTCACTCAAAATAATTTTTTAAATTTTTTTAAAAACATTAAATTGTATTTACATATATGCCCTTAACATAAACTAAAGAGTTAAAAATCTTTTGGGCTTTCACAGCCCGATCCCAAACCCCTTTCCCAAAACATTTGTGCTTTCAAAAATAACAAAACGATTTTTATTTGGTCCAAAACATCAGCTTGGCTTGAAGCCTTTGTATTAAAGCTTTGGCAAATTATCAGAAGCTGTACACAAGGTGGTGGAGTAGGCCACCTTGTATTAAAAGGAAAATAAAATTTGGCAATCGTTAGTAATAAGGAAATATAACATCCGCATCCCAAAAAAAAAAGGAAATATAATTTGACCCTTATTGAGAGGTTGGCCAAAATCAAACCACCGCCGTTAGTTTTTTTATCTTTTTTGGTGAGATAAGGAAACCCAAAGCCCTATTTTCTTATCTTCGTTTCTGTCTTCTTTACTAATAAGGAAATATAACATCGCATCAATAAAAAAAAAAGGAAATATAATTTGACCCTTATTGAAGGGTTGGCCAAAATCAAATCACCGCCGTTTATTTTCTTATCTTTTTGGGTGAGATAAGGAAACCCAAAGCCCTATTTTCTTATCCTCGTTTCTGTCTTCTTTCTTTTTGCGCGACCCTCTCTCTTCCTGTGTCTCCAAAACCCACCCAAATCACATCTCTCTTTTTCTCTCCGTTTCTCGAGTAATTTTTGGGTGTTCCCGGTACACCACGTGGCTGGTGTACCATTCAATAGACGGAAGACATATGGAATATTTCTAATACAGTCCGCCACATGTCATAAAAAGAAATGCAGTAAGTTGGATAATAATTTCATATGTTCTATGTTTATTGGATGGTACACCAGACACGTGATGTACCTGGAACATTTAAAAATTTCTCCCGTTTCTCTAACTCCCTCCCAAGTTCTCTGGTTTACACTCCTCTAGTTCTCTATCCTTGGCTCTCTCTCCCTCCCGATCTTTCTCTATTTTCCCTTAAAAGCAAATTAGAAGGCGGATGGACAGGGGCAAAGAAGAAGCGTTAGAAATTGAAAAACTTCGGCAACAGGAGCGGCTTGATGAGAAACTTTGGCTAAAGGAGCGGCTGGATGAGGATGAACGGAAGAAGATGAGGAAGAAGATGAAGGATCGACATCTCCATACGGAGAAACGGAAGAGACATATGCTAGGCGATGATATGGAGGAGCAGAAGAGTAAAGAAGCTTTTCATGGGGGATCCAGATGGGGGTCGTGGGATCCCCCTGTCCTGCCTACTAAGGGTAAAGAAGTGGATATTGAGCACAAGGATGAGAGACTTTCCCTCTCCAATTGGAAATCGGATGATTGCCTTGTCCTGTTTTGTACGGAGGAGCAGAAGGGTAAAGACGATTTTGACATCACGGAGAGTCTGGATCAGAAGCTTATAGAATCTTTTTTAGGCGATTCCGATTGGTTGCCGTTGGATATCCCGCAAGAAGTGAATATTGAGCATGAGCACAAGGAATTACACTTCGAATTTGAGGAGGAAGCATCTGAAGGAGGAGGAGGAGGAGCTGATGGATGCAAAGCATCTGATGGATGAGGAGGAGGAGCTGATGGATGCAAAGCATCTGGTGGATGTGGAGGATCTGGAGGCAGAGGATGAGCAGGAGCTTAATGCTTTTTATGGCGGATCCAATTCAGTTTCGTTGGGGCAGTTGGTGATTAGAGACCAATTGCATGCTCCTCCATCGCCACATGGGATGAGCACTCCAAAAATCCTGTATTTATGTTTTGGCGAATATATGGCTGGTAATAAGACTCTGTACTCTATTCAAGCACTATGCTTGCATTCTTTCCCTCCAGTCCAGACCTTAAAGGCCAAAGAACTGGCATATATACGTGGTGAAGGGCTTCCCCTCCGTATGGGTTGCGGTCTTTTTGGATCGAACATTGTTTTTCTCGGCGGCGTTGAAAGCAGATTCGATTGTTACAGCGGTGATTTCACAACATATCCACGTAAAGACATTTATACTTTTGACACTAAACATCCCTACACCTGCGAAGTCTTCAACAACAGTTCCCTCCGACAAGGAAAGTCTCGTCCTTTTCTGGTGCAGTACTACGATAAGCTGTATGTGCTCTCTATTTTAACGTTAAGCTTATGTGATGGTAGCAATTTTAGACCTGCTTTTGAGATGTTCGACTTAAAACAGGGCAAGTGGGCGACTCTGCCTGCCCCTGTAGCTGGCTCTCGTTTTATCTCTCATGTAGTTGTAGGCTCATGTATTTTTGTCAATGCTACATTTGGGCATGTGTTATGCTTTGACATGGCTGACCCCAGCCCAAAATGGAGAGTGCACAATTTTACCAACTGCTCTGCATTGCCCTAGGAATATATTCGCGAAACTTTAACTGTAGAATATGGGGATGGCAATTGGGTGATTTTGAGTTGTAGGCCATATTTAGATGTTGACAGATTCAATGATCATCCTCATTATGAATGGAAGCATACTTTTATAACCGCTCATTTGATGTCCAAGGACTACACATTACTGACACCTTTTGAACCTGATCTGAAGATTCCGCATGGTTACTTACCCCCTGGTGGAGATAAACATTTGCCCGTGCGTGGTGTAGAGTATAAATTGGTCCATCTACAAGGTCGAGAAATCTGCCTTATTATATCCGTAGAAAGAGGGGACGAGTTGGAGGACGGAGAGATCGAGAGGATGCAGACTTATGTCATGATTTTCGAATTTGAAATTGTCGAGGGCAAACACACCTTAGCCTTCAAAGTCTTGCATCCTGCTTCCAGGATTATAGACGACCGGTCATCTGAATCTAGGACCAATAAAGTAGGCCTGGAGGGTGCCTTTTTTCTGTAAGTTTCGTTAATTGATAACTTATTTCAGTCATGTTTGAAAACTTCACCAGATAGTTGCATTTTTATGGATTTTTACTGTATATGCATTAGGTATATGTACGATGATGCAGTTATGTGGTCTTAGTATTTATCTTTTCTCCAAGAGAAGTGAACCTAGAAAACTAAAGCTAAAATTGAACCCAGATTTGATTTATGATTCCTTGTATTTGTCTTAATTTTGCTGCATATATGTATATGTTTAGTCACAGGGGATTTGATCTAGTTTTGTTATTTGCTTCATTTTTAAACATTGGAACAGGTAAAAAGTCATTAAATACGTGAAAGTGCAGAAGGTGCAGTCATTCCGAAGAAGGCCTCAGATGTTGATACTGACTAAGATGGAAGATCTTCTACTTTTGTTTATGGAACTGATAATTTTGTATTATGTTTTATTTATACTTTGGTGTCAGTCAAATATTGGGCTAACATCCAATCACCAATTATGTGGTTTCCAACATTTGTAATTGTTGCTTTTCTTATCCATGTGCTTTCATGTTATTTAGATTATCATAGATGCATGTTTAGGACAGAATTATACTTTTCATTTGGGCCTTTTTATCAGGTTGCATTATGGGTCAACGCTGTCACTTTTATGAGATTTAGCTGGTTATTTGTATGTTTGCTTTTGTGGTGCTACAATATTTTTTGGATGACTTCTGGAGAAATATATTTTGTTATGCCTGCTCGATGTATGGGTCTAGATTCCATGAAAATAATCGAACTTTGGAATGTTATCTTCTCCTGTGTGACTTCTTTTACTAAAATATACATGGATGCACAATGGACTTGGTCAACAGAATGTTTGTGCCCCCTGTGTTTCTGCAGACTTTTCTTATTGCTAATTATATTGATTTTTCAGTTGTTTGACTAGTAACCTTTTCACACCTCAGATTGATTATGACACAAACGAACAAGAAAAAGAGAGAAATTAGACCTATTTTCCGCATTCATTGTTGTGTTCAAATGTACAGCTTGCAAGACTTTTCCATCACTAGTAATGCCACTTTCTTCTCTTTTTCTACTTATCTCCCACTTCATATCACTGTTAGTAGAACCCTTGATGAACTTCTCTCCACAGAGTACCTGTTCCGTGAAAGCATCCACTTCCAATGTATAGTAGAGGGACTTCATAACCATCTGTGTCTTGCGTCAATTTTAATATTCAGCATAACAAAGCCATGACTGAGAAGAAACAATGTTATTTACATCCACATAGAAATCCATCTCACCATAATTACAAAAAGTAGAAGAAAATATTAAAACAACAAAATTGGAAACCAAGGAGCCAAAGGTGAATAGAGTGAGTTCGATTTGTTTGAGGAAATTACCTAAGACTGCGCTCTGGACCACATATCCAAGATTAACTTGTCACGAGTACCAATCTTAATAATGAACTTATTTAAGGTTTTTAGTGGAAATAGATGGAGTCACACAGGATTTGATCTAGTTTTGTTATTTGCTTCATTTTTAAACATTGGAACAGGAAAAAGTCTGTAAGTACGTGAAAGTGTGAAAGTGCAGAAGGTGCAGTCATTCCGAAGAAGGCCTCAGATGTTGATACTGACTAAGATGGAGGATCTTCTACTTTTGTTTATGGAACTGAGAATTTTGTATTATGTTTTATTTATATTTTGGAGTCAGTCAAATATTGGACATATGGAGACGTTAAGTATGAATCAAATATTAGAATTTTGTCATTTATTCGGGATTCAGAATGCATTTGTTTGAAATAGCGTCCTCTGGGAGAAGTAGCTTAATTAGCAATTCGATTTTCTTCCCTCAGTCCATTCATTAACGAAAATAGTGAATCCCATACACATTCTTACAAGAGAAGTGAACACAATAATTTTCAAAGAAGTGAACACAATAATTTTCAAAGTGAATGGTCAGCGCCTCAAGCATTATCTAGAATCTCACTTTGATGCTCAAGAGGTGGTGTCATTCTTTGACACCAATTCATCACCACCTCCATGAGCACCATTTTAAAGTCAAGCTAATGACTTAAAACAAGCGCTTCTTGGGAGGCAACCCAAGTTTTCTTACTTTCCCTTGTTAATTTCCAGTTTTTGCTTCTTTTGCTGTCTTTTAGGTTTCATTAGTGATTTGATTATTTGTTTGTGTAGGAACAAGTCGAAGACTTCCCCTCTTGTTTACGGAGTCTTTTTCAATGTGTTGGCACGCCTCATTTGGACCACAAAGCAAGGGAAGGCAGAAAGTTACAGTTCGAGCATAAACAACCTGTATTTATAGGTATTTTCAAGGTTTCAATGCCCCGATTTTGATCCAATGCTCCCAAGGCTGCAAACTAGTTTTGTGGGTGTTCATACACCTGGGCTAACTTCAGGCAGTAGATTTTAAGGCTTGAGAGCCAAGCCATAAGGCTTTTGTGCACAAGGATACCAAATAGCTCACGTGTGCCTTTTTGTTGGGTTTGCAATGGCCAAAAGTTGAAATAATGCAAGAGGAAAGGGTATATTGGTTGATGTTTTTGTTGGAGAAGTTGTGAGGTTTTCCTATCCACAATATCATTTTCTTAATTCTTTCGCGCCACGGAGTGGCCCCCGCAAGTGACATACGATCTCACGAAGATATTCTGGGTGCTGGTTTGGTTTGGATAACATCATTGTGAAAATTTACCTTTTGGCACAATTATGGTCATTTTTGGCTTCTCCCCATAATTTTCACTATGGAGTGTTTCACGTGAATTCAAGGTTTCAGACATGTTGCATGGTTATGGTGATGATTTGGACCAAGTTTGGGGGTCCCATATGGCCTGCATTGTGTTTTAGGTGGATTGGAAGTTCAAATATGAGCCAAAATACCAAAATTGCTACTGTTGCATTTTCTGGTTGTTCATAAGATTTTTTGTCGCTAAAACTCTTTTGCGAGGGTTGTTCGTCGGATTTTTTGTAGAGAAAAGGTTCCTGACACTCTTTAGTGACAGTTTTCTGTAGAAAAACCGTCGCTAAAGGTCATTTTTTTCCAGATTTTCCTGCTGTTGCTGTCCTCACAAGTTGCTGCTTCACACCTGGTTTGGGGGTGGTGTGCCTCACACACTAAAGCCTCATGCCTCACCAATTTTCTCTTCATGCAGCTAGTGCAAATAAACCTAGGAAGTCCTCTTCTTTTCCTTGTTTCTTTTATTTATTCATGTTTTTTATCAATTTTTCTTTTCTTTTCTATATGCTTCCTTCCTTAACTGTGCATTGCATGTTTTCTTTTCTTAACATTGTGGACAATGTTTAGTTCTAGTTTGGGGGTGGGAAACTTTGTTTAGGTTGTTTTCTTTTAGTCTTTTTAAAAAAAATAATTAATTAATTAAAGGTTTAGATACAAAATAATTAATTAATTAAAGGTTTAGATACAACAATTAGAGTACCGCTAATAATTCGATTTTTGGTAGTGAAAGAAATGCAGAATGAAATCGAAAATGCATTGAAGCTACGCCGCATTTCGGAAGAAGATCAAAGCATAAAGAACCATGAAACATGTTCCAGTTAATAATGATCTCACACATAGAGCTGGTGTGGCTTCTGCATTCTTCACAATCTGGAACAATATCAGCAATAGACAAAGACAATCCACCCGAACAACTAAGACTTGGTTTCACCCTTGGCACGCCTAGATAGGGATGGCAAAAATCACTGCTGGCAAAAATCACTGCTGGGTAAGATATGATGTTCTGCACCAAAATATAAAGTTATAAACTCAATGGTTGAAGACATTGAACAAGTCTATATGTATCCCATAAACCCAAATGGCACTGAAAACTTCCCAGCAATGCTATGCAGAAGCAAACTGCAGTTAAATCATCTTCGATGTAGCTACAGCAATTCTTTCTTTGTAGCATATTAGCATGGATACTAATAACAACAGGAACCTAAGAAATCAAGCAGAAGATGAATATAAGATGAACACTACTCTGGGATTTCTAAATAAGATTCCCATCTGCAAAAGCAATTAAGGAATTTGAAGTAATGGCTGCCACTGAGAAAAGTAAAAACTATCATAAATAGTGTGATATCGAATAGATTTGTTCCGGTTTCCACAATCCTGTCCCTACTTATCAGGTTGTAATGTTGAGATAAGCAGAGTAAGATTCATCATTGAAGCTTGACAATGGTGCTAGAAGAAAGCTCCTTGTTGCTCCTTTAGCCACAAAGCTGATAGGATGATGCTTATTCCATTGCTCTTTACAAAGCTGGCTGCCTGGTTGAATACAGCGTCCGACGACTCTGGACTGCAGATGAGCTTCAGGCCTGCACTGGCCACAATTTTTTCACTATACACAAAGCAACCTTTGAAGCTTTCTGACTCCAAGGATACTGTGGTGTTCTTTCCATCCAAACCTGGAATCAATCGGAAAACTGAAGAGTCCTTACTACTGGACAAATCTGCTATCCCAAGATTCTTGTCTTTCCCTTGCTGCACTAAAACCTTTCCTGGAAGATCAAACAGTTCTAGAATGACTGATTTGCCAATAGCATCATTCACTGTGGAGAGCTTTGTGGACAAGTCGTTTAAAATGAGTCTGAAAGTGGCATGAGCAAAAGCGTCAGTGCCAGTTTCTGGAAACACGTCCAATGCAATCGATTGGTTTGTGACAGCTATGGCAAATTTTGAGTTTCCATATTCTTGGGAGAAGGAAACCAAAAAATTATTGTATGAAGAAGGGATTGAAGTTATCCAGTCTGCAATGGAGTTAGCTGAGCCAGTTTCAATGTCCCAGTTACCGCTGGTATGAGCCGCAAGCAGATATGGACCATAAAGAATTGCTTGAATTGAAGCATACTCAGGCCGATCATCTGAATTTTGTTCAAAGGACTTTGTCAGTTATATATCATTCACAAAACAAATATTTTGCTTATTGATAGAAATATACAATAAAGCCATGTATCCTATTCCTAGGGAGTGGCAGATGTATATACTTGTTGAAATGGATTTTTAATAAAAGTAACTTGAATAGCCTCTGTTCTTAGACTAATGGGTAGCTGAAGGGTCAAATTGTCACCAGAACTCCACTTTCTTGTGACAGATAGGAAACTACCAGCATCAGAAATAGGAAAATAATACCAGTTAAGCCTATAGTTTGCGCCCAAAGAGGATCAGAAATGCAACTGCAGAAATAGAGAGGAAACTGTGAGTTATCTCATACCTGGAGCTGGTACACTCAGACTTTGACCATTCAATGCTGCCTTTGCACCATTTGAAGCTGTCCAAGTAGGCGTTCGCAAGTTCAAGGTAGATGATTTGCCTGTCCCCTGCGTCATTTAAATCCATTATAAAGATCTATGTTAGGCACAGAAAGGACACGAGACAACTCTCATGTCCAGAGACAAAAGACACTACATGCGTTTGTTTTCGTGAATCTATAAAGTGAAAACATGCACGTGTATGTCTATACCAAGATGCGCAGGTCACATGCAGGCCAAAAATAATACACAACTAATAAGTAGACAAGGGTGAACTCTTTTACAGGTTTCTAAATGAGAGTCAAA